TGCGTGCGGTGCATTGAAGCCCATGCTTTGATGCTATTGTCAAAATTTGAATGGCCTGCCGGCCATAAGCCATCGATCGGATTTTGACGAAAATACCTGTAACGTTAACGAAACACGGCCGTATGCTTGAGTCATTTTCATAAAAGTTTATTGAGTTTTCGTTAATATTTTGGGTGGATATTGGTCAGAAAAGAATGCTCCTTCCGAATATGTAGGTTTCCTAGCCATTGATTAGCATTTTCAATACGTTTTGATGTTGTAAAGGACACCGCGCTCCGCGCGAATCAAACTTTCAAATAAATTTTTCATTATTAAAGAAATGGTACGGATCACCACTTTTTATTTGCTTTCCTATCATTACACGTACATTTACCTGTAAAATGGCACCACACCGATTTCATTCCGTCAAGCCGTTTTCCAGCGGCATCGATTTTCCCGTCACAATACACGAAATCGGTCATTTTTTCACAACCGGGGGTATTGCCTTGCACGTGGTGCGTGCTATACTATGAAACCATGTCAATACGCTAGGCCCATCTCTCCTCTATCGAGTGGTGCAAACCGCTTCTCGCTGCGACCCTCCGTTGCCGATTTATACAGCTGGGAAGCAGGCGCCGCAGGCCGGTTTTCGCCCGATCGCCGATTTGACCGTTTCCCGTGTTAACCCTATGGCGCACGCGAGCGCGTGCTGACGGCGCACCCCTGGGCCAATCCGTCCCAAATTTTAATACAGTAGTCACATCAACCCATCGATTCGGCATGCCAAATTTCACGTCGCTACGCGGCGCCTTTCAGGCGCAATAAGACACATAAGGCATGACAGTCGCAGGCACGCACGCACGGACATGTTATAATTCATAATATAGACTACGCTCGCTTCGCTCGCTCCGTAATCAAACGTACAACGGCGGCCGGTCATGCACTTGTCGACATATCTCAGCATTGCATTTCGCCAATCAAACCATTTACCGCATCGGTCATACCTGTGCAATTCTCAAAACTGTGTACCATTTACAACCGACTTTTTGTGTCAAACTACCGAACCGTTAGAGTAGTGGCAGCAGTACGGCCAGTCTTCGTGTGGGTCCGCATGTGTCTGATAAGCTTTGGCTCGTTGAGCGAACCGGGCCTGGCAGTGTGAGCAGCCGTACGGCCGCTCCCCGTGTGGGTACGCATGTGTGAGGTGAGACTTGGCCCTTGAGTGAAGCGTGCCTTGCAGATGGAGCAGCCGTACGGCCTCTCCCCAGTGTGGGTCCGCATGTGCCTGATTAAACTTCCCCGTAGAGCAAACCGCGCCTGACAGATGGAGCAGCCGTACGGCCGTTCCCCCGTGTGAGTCCGCATGTGTTCGGTAAGGTGTGACTGTTGAGCGAACCGTACCGTGCAGATGGAGCAGCCGAACGGTCGCTCCCCAGTGTGGGTACGCATGTGTTTTGCTAGGGTAGACCGTTCAGCGAACCGTACCGTGCAGATGGAGCAGCCGAACGGTCGCTCCCCAGTGTGAGTCATCATGTGTCTGCTGAGGTTGGACCGCTGAGTGAACCGTGCCTTGCAGATGAAGCAGCCGTACGGATGCTCACCAGTGTGGGTACGCATGTGTCTGGTAAGGTGTGACCGGCATGTGAACCGCGCCGTACAGATGAAGCAGCAGTGCGACCGCACCCCAGTGTGAGTCTTGCGGTGACGTTTTATGCATGTGGACCTGTCGGTCGAGTACCGACACCGCTCGCACTTGAACCTCTGACACTTTTATGCATGTGGACCTGTCGGTCGAGTACCGACACCGCTCGCACTTGAACCTGGTGACATCTCTTCACGTGTTCGTCCAGATGTTGTTGTCCCAGACATCGGAAGTCGCAGTGGGGACATATGACCGAGCCACTGATGCCTGAAGAATACACAAGAAGAAGAAAGGCCATTAAAAACGTTCCATGCCAACAGGTCGCACACACACTGGAACAATCACGACGCCGAGAGAAGACCCAAGCAGCTGGTGGTCGCGTTTCCAGGTCACCTTGGTGGTCGCCGTGGACGGTAGCGGCAATGTTGACGCGACAAGCCATCAGCTTTCCATGAGTTGATCCGTTTGTCGTTCGAAATACAGCCATCAGAAAGGGAACGCTGAGCTCGTACAGAATAGTTCACTTGCCCTTTATTAACTATATCACAGGGTCAGAAATCCGACCCAACTTAACCATAAAGTGAAGGGCCTATTTGACAACACCAAGGAATAAAAATTTGAAAGATAAAGAGAGGACAAAACACAATCAATTTTTCTCTCTAAGGAATGTCTCTATTTGGGAAAACTCCACCGTGGCAGGCACGCCTCCCGTATTCCACACCACGACCAAAATAAAACATACATGATACACAAAGTTGCAATAAATATTTTCTTTACATTTTAATACAAAAGCAATACAAATAAATAGCGAGAAAAACACGCGTTGAACAAGTAATAAAACTTAAAGGGACCCTCCCACCTTCAAAAAAGTTAATGAATTGGCATGAAAGTGATGTCGCTCGGTTCTGAAAGAGCAAAAACGAATATCTACCAAATTTCATCGAAAAATATTCACCGGTTTTCAAGATATTAGACTTTAACTTTTGTTTACTTTTTGGGATCTCCGCTGTTCCTAGCGACTTTATTTGAAAGTGCGGCATTTGTTGCGCGCAAAGCAGCATATACCACCGCGTGCTACAAAACGTTTTAGTCAAACATTCAACGGACGTTCGAAAGCCTGATGACGTCATCAGATTCCCGTAATGGTTAAGAGATAGGGACCACGCTGGTCCCACCCTGCAAGTAAAGGGAAGAAATTTCTTGAACACCATAAAGCTGCGGGGGTTGCGACCAGGATAAATGGTGGTTTCTGAGCCTGGCCGCAAACTTGGCTATAGTTCGTTTTTCTTAAGTTTGCCCCTCACTGTAAACGTCTTTTTGAACATAGCACGAGAATGGCTAGCTGAATTACTGAGAAAACTGGTTAGCGCACATTGTATTGTAGATATGAATAATATTTTCAAAAATAAGTATTGAACACCGACGATTTAACGTTATGTTAAGCGCCGTGCAAATTATTTATTAGTTCAGACATAATTCCTGAGAAGTCGTGTATCCCTGTGGGGCTGTAGGTATTAGCAAATGCCAGCTAAGAGTCTGTGAAATAGTAAGTAAATTTGATGAAATTGATCGTCTGTTAAATCTGGTCAAATCACTGTGCGCCAACCAGTTTTCTCAGTAATTCAGCTAGCAATTCTCGTGCTATGTTAAAAAAGACGTTTACAGTGAGGGGCAAACTTAAGAAAAACGAACTATAGCTCAACTCAAAACTAATGTTAAGGTGGGAGGGTCCCTTTAAAAAAAGCCGAAAATTGTTATACACGCGTTTATTCGAACATGGCAATATATGTGCTTCAACATGAACGCCATAACACTAAGACACAGTTAGTAGGTATTGGTTAGTAGACATGTGTCCAGTGTCCTTAGGAAGTGTCAGTACATTCTTCAATAGAGCAATGCAAACAATGCCTTAGGTGTCACATAATCTGCCGAGGGCGACACGACAGAAACACCCCGTCAAGCTTGTAAAGTTGTAGGTACAGACAGCACATAGCAACAGTAGCCGCCTTTATGTACACGGGATGAATAGAGTATAAATATTTACATAACATGCCAACCTACGTTAGACCGGCGCCCTGTCGACAAAGATTGCGCACGTAATGCGGAATGCTGCAAATACTGGAGGGAGCCAAAGCCACACAAAGAAACATTACTTCGATATAACCGGACGCTCTCAACCCATTAATGCCGGAATATTTATTTTTTGATTCTTAAGTTATCCTTAACAAATGTTAGCCACATGGATCCCAGTAAAAAAAACTGTGCAAGCTTTAAAAAAACTGTTCCATCGGTTCTCAAGTTATAGGCATGGGCCATAAATGACCCAACCGGCATTAGTATAGTCACAAATGGGAGTTATCACGTAAACTGATTTATCTAGATACCTTATTGTGTATAGGTACTGTATACCTACTGTATGGCGGTCTCAGCCAATCAATATTAAGACGCACTGCATTGCAATGCTTTGCGACGTCTCATTGGCGAGGCTGGTGGTGCCGCTGGCAGGCCTGTGGCGCCCCTGCTAGGCTTCTGGTGCCCCTGACACTGTCAGGGACACCATAGGCCTGACAGGCCTATGGTGTCCCTGGAAGGACTGTGGTGCCCCTGGGCCCTGACAAGCCTGAGGTGCCCCTGACAGGCTTTTTGAGACCCTGACAGGTCCGCGGTGCCATTGCTAGGCCTGTGATGCCCCTGGCAGGCCTGTGGTGCCCCTGGCGGGCCTGTGGTGCCCCTGGCGGGTCTGTGGTGCCCCTGCTAGGCCGCTGGTGCCCCCTGGGTCCTGGCATGACTATGGTGCCCCTGACAAGCCTGAAGCGCTCCCAACAGGCCCGTGGAGCCCTTTACAGGCCCAAGGTGTCCCTGCAAGGCCGGTGGTGCCCCTGTGAGGCCGGTGATGCCTCTGCGAGACCGATGGTGCCCCTGGTAGGCCGATGGTGCCCCTGGCAGGCATCTGGTGCCTCTGGCAGGTCTGTGGTGCTCTTGCTAGGCCGATGGTGCTCCTGCAGGCCTGTGGTGCCCCTAACAAGCCTGTGCAGTGGTACCCCTGACAGGCCCGTGGTGCCCTTGATAGGCTTGTGGTGCCCCTGTCAGGCTTGTGGTGCTCCTGATAGGTCGGTGGTGCCCCGGGCCCCAAGGGGGGGGGGGGGTCATGAGTGACCCATGTGATGTGCGGATCCTCTCCTTTGGATCCTCCACTGTGATCTGATCACAACCCCCAGAAATAAATAATCGTATAATCATCAGTTGCTTCCATTGTATTTAATATACTGAGTAAATTGATAACACTATTGCCGGCTGGGTCATTTAATTATGACCCAAGGATATTTATTAAGGAACAAAAGTTATCCGGTGACGAGAAGAAGGGCAAAAATACACATCATACTTTTTCAGACAAATTTATATAGGTAGACGATCATTCAACAGATAGTAAATTGCAAACATAATACATTACTTTTTGGGACGGCGCGCCATTGCCAGTGACCGGCGGCTGTGCAGTCCCGTCGTCTTTGGCTCCAGAAACTTCAGTGGACGAGCTCACACCAGTTTTATGTCGCTCCGACGCTCGTCACTAAACCCACAAAATCGACAAAACACACGCGCAAGTTCATCAAAGTGACACTTGCCTCCATTGAGAAGAAACATTAAGATTTTGCTTTTGGGTCATATATGACCCAAGCGGAATTAATGGATTAAAATGGCGCTACGGCGCTTAAAATACGCCAGTTCGACAGTCCTTTCCTCCTATGTAAGGGCGGCTATTTTAAATACACAACCACTGAATCACACTGGAAAAGTACAAACAAACCAGATATGACACTGGTAGCCACGAAGCTCACAAACGAGAGTCACAGCTATAACACGAATAACTAACGTACAACGGGGGCTGCTCATGCACTTGTCGTGAAGCCTCAGCACTATATTTCGACATTCGAACGACTTACCGCTTCGGTCACTCACACCTTGCTATTCTCACCAGTGTACCAGTTAAAAACGTATTTTGTGATTCAAACTGCCGAACCGTTGCTGATGTAGAGGCAGCCGTGTGGCCGCTCTTCGCGTGGGTCCGCATGTGTCTGAAGAGATGTGACCGTTGAGTGAACCGGGCCTGGCAGTGTGAGCAGCAGTACGGCCTCTCCCCCGTGTGGGTCCGCATGTGTGTAGTGAGGTGTGACCGGTTAGCGAACCGGGCCTGGCAGTGTGAGCAGCCGTAAGGCCGCTCCCCTGTGTGGGTCCGCATGTGTTTTGTTAGGGTAGACCGTTCAGCGAACCGTGCCGTGCAGATGGAGCAGCCGAACGGCCGCTCCCCAGTGTGGGTCCGCATGTGTGCAGTAAGATGTGACCGTTCAAAGAACCGTGCCTTGCAGATAGAGCAGCAGTATGGCCGCTCCCCAGTGTGGGTTCGCATGTGTCCGGTGAGTTTTGACCGTTCATTGAATTGTGCCTTGCAGAGGGAGCAGCCATACGGCCTCTCCCCAGTGTGGGTTCGCTTGTGTCTGATGAAGTGCGCCTGGTCAGAGAATTGTGCATGGCAGAGGGAGCAGGCATACGGCCGTTCTCCCGTATGGGTCCGCGTGTGTGTGGTGAGAGTGGACCGCTGAGCAGACCGTGCCGTACAGATAGAGCAGCAGTGGGGTCGCTCCCCCGTGTGAGTCTTCCGGTGGTGTTTCCTACGGGTGGGCTTGTCGGTCGAGTATTTACACCGCTCGCACTTGAATCTCCCGTTCCTGCCGATGTGACCGTGACTTATCTTCACGTGTCTGTCCAGATGTTGTTGTCCCAGACATCTGACGTTGCAGTGGGGACACTGAAGTGTGCGACCAACACCTGTGAAACACATTGAGAGAAGAGGGATGTCGACAATGTTTCTGGCCAGATGTGAAAAATCAGACAAAAACGATTTCATCCTGGGTGATACTCAATATAAAAAATGAAGGACATGCATCGCTTCCTTAGTAGCGATGCATTAGTTGTCGGTGAAGCAGGATTAGGGCGCCAGCTGTGCCGTCCGCATCTGGACGAAGAAGTTTGAGAGCCACTGAAGGTACTGACCGATGCCTGACATGCGGTCACGACGTAAAGAGACGTCGAGTAGCGGTGGTGGAACAAACAGTCACCAGCCGATAAACTTGCGGCAGCGATAAACACGTGATGGACAAGATCGGTTGGCTGACACAGATGAAAATTGAACGCCCACAAAGGCATGGGTGCCGCAACACCCTATGAAATGTAATGTCCCCAAACGCAAGGATGGCTCAAGAACCCCAGATTTTTGATGCAGCTCCTCAAAATGCAGCAGCTTGCATAAATTCCAACAATGCTAAACAGATGGGCTAGATTGCGGATTGAGTAACATTATGTGCCCCACTCGATGTCAATAAAAATGCTGTGGTTCTTATTGAAAACTTCGACAATATGGACAATATGTTCAAAAAAAAAATGTTGACATTCAAGACTACCCGAAACGGTATTCAATGCAACCATCACGCTATCTGCACAGTCATGAACTAGCGTTTTGTTCTTGTCAAAAAGTTTGGATTTCCCTTGCAAATACAAAGTTTTTTTTACATTTCATCCAACATGGCCACAGGAACCAAGGCGATAAATATGTACTAAGTGGCGTCACGAGAGAATGCTGACGTCATGGTGCAAACTTCTTCGGGAGTAAAAAAACTGCATCCATTTGATAGTTTTAGACACTGAAATCTTGTTTCGTTAGACTGATGCTGAATATTACGCAATATCCCAAAACAATTAAGTAATTAAAGAGATTGGGTACCTCATAAAAAGGGCAAATTCACACGATGACATCACGAAAAACGAACACGTTACAGGTATGCCAGTGACTACAGCCTGGTCACCGGCACGTTGTTGTATTGATAGTACCGGACTTTGTCAAGCAAAAACAAACCTTTTAACTTCAACAACATAAATGCGCTCGATAGTTTTCGAGAAAACCCTGCTGACAGGATGTGCCCCGTGACACTATCTGCCCCAATCTTCCCTACCCATCGGCTGTCAACTATTCGAAATCATTTTAAAAGGTAAAATCGTTCCCCTCAGCAGTCCTTTAAGGATATATACCACTCCCAAATATATATTTTTTCTTGCTACAGTTAAATGATTATTTTATGACAAAAATGATGCCGATTAAAAAACATGTTTATGATTTTTTACTTATAACAGGTATACGAAGAATTATATTCTATCTTCCGTTGGAACTAAATATGGTGGCGGAGGATATTACGCGTTCACCAATCATATTGCGTTCTTAAAAAAAAAACAGCTGCACGCTGATTGGCTGACACTGGCCTCTCCGACAGCCGCTTTTTAGATGTCTGCGAAAAAGAGGACGGGGGAGGCGACTACCCCATCCCCCGGCCCGGCGAGGGATAAAGGTCCAAATAAAGGCTACTAAACGATGTGATAGAAGTTTTTTTTTCTGAAACAATCGAATCGACATAGTGGACCTATTCTTTAACAGGACCGATTGCTATTCCCCACGAAATGTGAGTCCAACGAACCAAACCCACGTAGCTTGGTAACGCGGTAATTAAACGTCAAGCCAACATACATCAGAGCAGCAAAACTTCAACGCAAAGGACTGAAGAAGAGCACGGTCTGTGTCGGTAAGAAAGATGGTATCTTCACAGTGCGGCAGATGTTGCGCGCAAAGCAGCATATACCACCACAGTTTTACAGAGGTTTGAGTATACCTAATGTTTTAAAATTGCGGAAGGCGGACGCATGCGGACCGCTCTTCTCGTCGGTCCGCATGTGTCTGATGAGACTTTATTGAACAATGAATCGTGCCTAGCAGAAACAGCAGCCATACAGCCGCTACCCCTGTGTGGGTCCCCATGTGTTTAGTGAGGCGTGACGGTTGAGCGAACTGTGCAGTGCAGATGGAGCAGCCAAACGGCCTCTTCCCAGTGTGAGCACCTATGCATCTTTTTTTTTCTAAGATCTGTTTGGTTAGGTTTGACAGCGAAGCGAAGCGAACCGTGCCGTGCAGGTTGAGCAGCCATATGGCCGCTCCCTCGGGTGGGTAGGCATTTGTTTCATGAGACTTCTCCGTTGAGCGAACAAAGCCCGGCAAGTTGAGCACCGAGCAGCCTTACGGCCGTTCCTTCGTGTGACTGTGGGTACGCATGTGTTTGCTGAGACTTCCCCGTTCATTGAACTGGGCCTGGCAATGTGAAGAGCCATACGGCCGCTCCCCAGTGTGGGTCCGCATGTGCGTATTGAGGTGTGACCGTCGAGTGAACCGTGACTTGCAGATGGAGCAACCGAAAGGTCGCTCTCCAGTGTGGGTCCGCATATGTGTCGTAAGGTTTTGCTGTTTAGCAAAGCGTGCTGTGCAAACGGAGCAACCGTAAGGCCGCTCCCCCGTGTGGGTACGTATGTGTTTGTTGAGATCTTCCCGCCTAGCGAACTGAGCCTGGCAATGTGAACATCCGTGCGGCCGCTCCCCAGTGTGGGTCCGCATGTGTCTGGTGAGATTTGACCGTTCAGTGAACCGTTCCTTGCAGATGGAGCAGCCGTATGGCCGCTCCCTAGTGTGAATCCGCATGTGGTTGTTTAGGCTTGCTCGAACAGAGAACCGTGCAGTGCAGATGGAGCAGCCGTACGGCCGCTCCCCAGTGTGAGTCCGCATGTGTATAGTGAGGGTGGACGGTTTGGTGTACCGTGCCGTACAGATAGAGCAGCCGTATGGCCGCTCCCCAATGTGGGTTCGCACGTGTGTGGTGAGGTTGGACCGTCCTGTGAACCGGGCCGTGCAGATAGAGCAGCCGTATGGCCGCTCCCCAGTGTGGGTCCGCATGTGATAGGTGAGACCTGACCGCCTAGAGAACCGTGCCTTGCAAATGGAGCAGCCGTATGGCCGTTCCCCTGTGTGAGTTCTGCGGTGGTTTTTCATACAGTCGGACCTGTCGGTCGAGTATTGACACCACTCGCACTTCAATCTGCCGTTCCTGCCCATATGGCCGTGACTTCTCTTCACGTGTCCGTCCAGACAATGTTTTCCCAAACATCTGAAGCCGCATTGGGGACATTGGACCGAGCCACTGATGCCTGAAGAATACACAGAAAAAAGGCCATTAAAAAAACGTCCCATGCTAAAGCAGGTCGCATTATGCGACCTGCTTTAGCATAGAACGACCTAACCCGGTTAGGTCGCAAGCCGAAATGTCAGTTCAAGTTACGAACCGAGCCCATGTAAGTTGGCATATAAACGTCGTGCCTGCATACGTCAAAGTAGCAGAACTTCTCAACGAACCGGGCAAAAAACAGTCTACTGTCGGCAGAAGGGTAAATGGCATTACCAGCGTCACTTCGATGGACACCATAGGTCTCGGAGCCGCAAACGATGAACTGACCTGAAGATGACGGTCCGGCCGGAGAGGAAGTCACAGACTCCCCAGATGTCTCCGAGTGGACGGTCAGTTCCCGGGCCGAGTCGTCTCCGTAGTACACCAGCAGCTCAGAGCCCCGCGGAATGGCCTTTGACGTCCTGCATAGGGAGATAAATATAGCATTATTGATGAAAGCTTGATTGGTGTAGTCACAACACCTACACTGTCATTAATAACTTCGACGAATCCATTAAAGAAAAATATGGGCCACAGGACGAACCGCGCATAAAATACGTAACGCAGTTAGGAAGAATAGATCCGTGGATTCAAAGACTACAACGCACCTGAAGTATACCTGGCCCCGGTACTGGAAGGCCACTAGGTTTTGTTCTTCCTCCGAGCGGACACAGTTGACCCTTCTGAGCCAGTTGCTGCAGCTCGGGTCTTCGGCATTCACCGAGTGATGCACGCGCTTACCCTTCTTGATCTGTGGTACCAAACAAAAACGTAGTTCATCAATTCAAAGAACAAAGTAAAAATATGGCATGTGCAATGAAAACATTATAAAATTTATATGTTGCTATCATTGGTCTTAAAATGTTTTTTTTTTAATAACTTTTATCGTTGAAGTAAGTCTAAAGTGAAAATATGCGTTTTTTACCTGCAAAACAAAACAACTGAACTGACCTGCCATCTGTACCCGGTTGTTCGACTTCGGGCCTGACCCTGCTCGGTGGTCAAGATGCCCTCGTAAGGACCGAGTCTTTGGCGCGCAGGTATGTCCTTCTCCGCCAAAACTCCTGGAATCAAATAAATACAAGCCTTCACCTCAACTAAATGGACACAACATGTACTGATACATGGGACATGAAATCATACAACACAAGCAACCATCACCAAATGATGCATCAAACGTCCAGCAGCAGTTGTTACGTATCGCTATTTGTCTTGCCTCATTAACTTACCGGTGCCAGACGCTGGATTTGTCGACGGACCAGAGCTGAGAGAAGGCGGCAGGGTCTTGATGTCCCTGTCGACATCTCCGATACCGGGTCGTGCCTGGAATGTTCAGCGCATGTGGGGCGCAATGTCGACAATACAATCCACGCATTGAGATGATCTTAAGCCTGTTTGTAAATCAGACGGGTAAGTTTTGTGGATATAGATCATGAACCTGTTCTTGACCACGTACCCATGACAGTATTACCTGCTAACAAGACAGAAGCAAAGCAATAATATAACTATGAGCATGGATTAGAGTAAATACTTCATCCATGCTATGAGGAAGAGGATTACGTAAATGTGAAAGAAATAGATCATTTTTACATGAAGCTCATGTCGTTCCGTCACTAGGGCATCAGGCACAATTGGTCATATTATTTAATGTCTAAATGTGAGAGGAGTCATGTGTAAAGAATACGAATCAGACCAGTATGGACCAGTCCTTACCTTGGTATCGTGTATGATCTTTAGCGGTCCATGGACGGGACATTCACCGTCCCAATCGCGGCAGCACACGTCACAAACTGTCAGAAAGAAGGGCGAAAAAATTATTAGCGATTTGATGAAGAGCAGACCAAGGTTTAATCGTTCAAGGTTCCGTTAGACGGAAACAATGCGTCTGTGTTCGGTTTAATTTGTCTGTAATATGAGTGCTTATCGTGTAAATTCGTCCGTTGATGAGGACAAGGTAGCTGACTAAAATCGGGAGAATACTCACATATGTTACTATCATCGAGACCGTCCACATCACGGTAGTTAATGACGAGACGTTGACTCTTGATGAACACTCCTTCAGCAAAAACTGCAATAAATTCAACAGGGTAATAAATAATTCGGTGGCATTTCGGTAACGCGTCAGTTCAATAGAGTGCATGCGATTGAACATAAGAATGGTTCGATAATGTCATTCAATCACTTTGTAGAGTACGAAACCAAAAATAAAAATAAAACTTACATTTTCTCTGAAAAGGGCACAAAAGTAAGACCGAGGATATCACGATAAACCCATTGCTTTCAGTCTCTTCACAGTTATATAAACTTACCTTCAGTAGAGTCTCGAATGGCAGACGAACAACCAAGTAACAGACTCCTTTTTGCATTGGAGATGAAACAGGCACTGAAAGAACAGACAAATGCAAATATTATTAGAATCCATCAAGGATAGGTAATATGTCATTGTCTACTATGTCAAATAACAACTAAAATTTCAACAACAGCACTGAATCATGCCCTTACCTGTCCCGGTCCACCTCAGTGAACCCGATGAAGTCCTCAGACGGTGACGGTGATCGAGGTCGGTACTTTTCCTCCTTCACTAAAGAATGCAGAGCGCGGTCCGAGAAAGGATCGTCGTCCGACACCGAGGGAGACGACGGCCGCTCAACCTAGACCGGATCAACAGACAAACAATATTCAATGAAACATGAGATTTCATTGAATTTCATTGAAATTTCATTGAAACATGAGTTTAACCTCCACAGATATACAAATTGGAACACATTATGCGCTGTCATTCCCTTTTATTAACCTCGCAGCTAATATACATTTTTGGACGATACCGCGAAAACGAAATATTTCAATCGAGAGTTTTCAAAGGATTTCATGCACGAGGCCTTGGCCGAGGGCATGAAATTCTTTGAAAACTCGAGATAGAAATATTTCGTCGCGGTAGAGTGGGGCACTTGCGGCCCCCGCCGAAGTTAGTTGGTAGCACTGCTGCTCAACGGCGTACATTTCCTACCAGCCCATAGGGTTTACATGTTAAATGGCCTGTTTTCGGCGAGCGATATCTCGGTCAACCTTTGAAGGAATCAATGGTTCTTAGTCTCAAATGATAGATCGATTAATTTTCTTTCGACAATTCCTCTATCATTTTTCACGAAACCCAGCCGATCTTCTACGGCGTACAGGGTAAAGATTTCTCTGCACGCCAGCACCCGCGATCCGCCTCTCCGATCGTCGGAGCGCGGTCCTCGGTAGCGCAGTCGGTAGCGTATCGGGCTACGGATCCGAGGGTCGTGAGTTCGAATCCTGGGAGCGCCGTGTGATTTCGGCTAGAATTGAATGATGTAGAATCTTGAATGTTTGCGTAATCAATTATTCATAGCTAATTGAATGTATCTGCGCACTAATCGGCCCCTAAAATCTGTTATTTAAGAAATTAAAGAAATGAATGTCACGTGCGCGTCACGACTGCCAACCATAAGCGCTACCATATTCTAGTTTGAACTAACTTTTTGCTAGTCCCGACCACATATAGTAGGTTTTCTAGTATTTATACTAGAAATTCCTACCAAAGTTCGTCCTACCCTTCACTCAATATACCCTGGGGCACTTGGCCCAATCTCACCAAGCTAGTTTAACTAATTTCGGGGTAGTATTTTTGTAGTTACGGAGTGGGGTAGTTTGGTATTTTACCCCAAATTGAGTTTACCGCACTTGGTGAGATTGGGCCCAGGATATTATTTCCTGTATGTTTCTTAATATCGTTCGTTATCTGCTTAAAAAAGGCCGAAATATGCATAAATAAAATACAGTAACAATAACTACACGTTAGATACTGAAATACTGGCAGTTCTAATTACTTTACAGTTCAGCAAAGCTTACAAATTTTCTTTAAAACAGAAGCCCTCAATGAAATCAAGCTATCCAAGAAAACCATCCAAGAAAACGTCTCGCGCAAAGTTTCTTGGATGGCTGGATTGCATTGCAAGACTGCATCAAACATACAGGAAAAACCAATGAGAGATGAGCACCATGCATTTGAACACTTACCCTTGGTGAAGTGACTTCAATCTTTATCTCCTCCTTCACAACTGGCCGAAAGTCGCTCTCAGAGCCACTATCTATGGGAGTGCAGTTCCTCGGCCTCTGAGACTTCCTCACACTATGTGACGGACCCCATTCCCCGTCGCTGTCAGCGGAGCCCTTCCAAGACCACTTTGGTCCTTTTGGTGACGTTGACGCAGCCCGCATGAGCGGCAGTAGTTCAGACACTGATGGATCTGGAATGGGGTCCAACATCAGTTCACATTGAGTTGACTAGATGAAAGCACAAAACGGAGAAGTTATGTAGCAAGAAAATACAAAGTTGCAGAGTTATCACCACCAATAATTGAATAATTCCTTATGGAATTAATACCCATAAAACATCTCTCAATAATGACAATGACATGGTTTGCCAACAAGAATGCAGCAGGAAAATAATGGAGGTGCTCCTATACCTAGTCTTTAGATCCTGGCTTTATATGAAAAAAACTGTTTGTAGCCTCAAATGATCTCTGATGACCTTTCTAGAGAGCAGGCTAGCAGCAAAAGACACCTTTGTTGTCACTAGTAAGTAGTAGTCCAAATCATTGTGATTCTGAAATATTTTTACTGTTCCTCCTGACCTGGCAGGCTGACATGACCTCAACATAGGTGATCTGTCCGTAGATCACCACCAGCCCGGCCGGCCTCACAGCCGACAAAACACACCTTTCAGTTCCGAGCTCTATTCCCCGACTCACCACGCTCACACCCGCCCGGCGCCCCCCAGCGCTGCGTAGACGACCCCGCACAGTTATACATATCACTCCTCCACCGTAAGATAAAGGCAGTCCAAATCAGTAAGCAACAAAGGACTAGACATTCCTGAACTAAAACCGGTGGCTGTTGCAAAAAAAAAAAAAAAACGATTGACATCACACAGGGGAAAGACCTGCATTAGCACTATACCACTAGTGCCGTGCAGTTTACGTCTCGAGCAGCCGAAGCGGCACCCTTCGCTCGCGGTGTGAGCGTCTCACACTCACTGAGGGTGAGCTGGGGGATCCAACACCACCGCCACCCTCACGATCAGCACTCGCTCGACCAGCGACGCTCTCAGACAGTGACGTAGAACAATCCGGAACCGGCAACACCTCCCTTTCCACCGGCGAGCCTTCGGCCGACCGAGCTCGCAGGTGATCCAGATGCCGTCTGAACACACGGCCATCCGGCAGCCTCACATCACACTGACTGCCGGAGACAGATGCCACCACGGCCGGTTGCCAGGGCCTTTGATCCACTGCTGACACATAAACCAGATCACCGGGCGCAAACTGTCGCACTGCAACCGAATGGCGGTTGTTGGCCAGCGTTTGGCGTTCCTGATTGGCTCGGACACGGTCGAGCAGGGCGCGGTCCGGCTGCAGCCGCGCCAGGTGAGTGACCAGCGGGCGCCCATGGAGCAGCTCCGCGGGCGTCACTCCCGTTGCTGAATGGGGTGTCGTCCGGTAATGGAACAGAACGCGGCTCAAACGCGTTTGCAGCGATCCATCAGTCCGCTTCTGAAGCCCCGTTTTGATCACCTTTACGGCGCTTTCTCCTTGCCCGTTCGACTTGGGGTGGAGAGGCGGGGAGAACACCTGCTGCACTCCATTACGCGCTAGAAAATGACGCAAAGCCTCTCCCGTGAACACCGCCGCGTTATCGCTCACCACCACGCGAGGGACACCGTGCTCCGCAAACGCCATCCGCAACCGCTCAATGGTCGCTTCTGCTGTAGCCGACGGTGTCAGGTACGCTGAGATCCACTTCGAGTGAGCGTCCACGATGACCAGGATCATCATCCCATGGACTGGCCCCGCATAGTCCATGTGCAGGCGGTCCCAGGGCGCATCCGGGTACGGCCACGGACTCTCAGACACCGGAGGTGCCCGCGGCCGGCTCAGCTGACAGGCCTGACAGCTCTCAACCGTCGACTCGATAGCTGCGTCCATGCCCGGCCACCACGCGTGGGCGCGAGCCTTTGCTTTCATGGCCACCACTCCAGGGTGGCCTTCGTGCAGAAGCGAGAGCCACTGCTTCCGAAGGGCCGTGGGCAACACGATTCTGTTACCCCACAGGACCACTCCATTTTGAGCACTGAGTTCGAGGCGACGCCGATAGAACGGTTGAAGTTCCTCATCCACTGGCTCCGTCCAACGACCGTTCATCACCGCCTGATATGCGCGCGACAAAACGGGGTCACAGTTCGTGCGTCGACGGATCTGCTCGATGCGGATCATCTGGTCCACCGACTCAAGAAGACAGACAATGTCCCCGGGGTCTAGAACACTAGCAGGGCACACTGCCAGGGGCAGGCGGCTCAGTCCGTCGCTGTGAGCCTGCCGTGCCGAGGGGGCGTACACCAGCTTGTACTGGTACGCTTGCAGCGCGAGTCGCCACCTGGCCACCCTGGGCGATACCATCAGCGGCAGAGGCTTGTCGCTGCTTAGCAGACCCAGGAGAGGTTTGTGGTCCGTCTGCACAGTGAAGTGCCGACCGCACAAGAACTGGTGAAACTTTTTTACTCCAAAGACCACCGCCAGTCCTTCTTTGTCCAGTTGACTGTAGTTGGTTTCTGCTGCTGCCAGGCTCCGCGATGCATACGCCACTGGCCGTTCCATTCCGGAACAGTCCACTTCGGACAGCACTGCCCCGAGCCCGTAGGGGCTGGCATCCACCGACAGCACGAGCGGCAGGGTCCCGTCATAGTGAGCGAGGCAGGGCGCTTGCACCAGCAGCTGTTTGGTGCGAGCGAACGCCGTGTCCTCCGCCCGGCCCCAGCGCCACGGCTGACCCGTCTTCAGGAGGCGGTAGAGCGGCGCCGCCACGGAGGCCAGATTGTTCATGAACTTTGAATAATACATGAGCAGGCCGAGATACGCCTTCAGCTGTTTTACGTTCGCCGGTCGCGGTGCCTCCACGATCGCCGTCACTTTGGCTGCTGTGGGGTGGATGCCATTACAATCCACCCGGTACCCCAGGTACTCCACTTCCTTGGCCATCCACTGACACTTGCTCGGGTTGAGCCGTAGACCAGCGTCTAGCAGACGCCGCAGCACCGCGTCCACATTGCGCCGGTGCTCCGTATCGTTGCGGCCCGTGATGCACACATCATCGAGGAACACGGCCACGTGCGGCAAGCCGGCCAGCAGCTGCTCCATCATGCGCTGGAACGCCGCTGGAGCTGATGCTATTCCATAGACCAGGCGTGTGGCTGCCATCAGGCCTCGGTGAGTGTTGATAACGGTGTAGCGCTGACTTTGTTCATCCAGGGGCACCAACAGGTACGCTTCCTTGAGATCCAGGCGCGTGAACTTTTGGCCTCCGGCCAACTTTGTAAGCAGCTCGTCGATTCGAGGGAGCGGATACTGCTCCACCCGTGAGGCTTTGTTAACGGTAAGATCATAGCTACCGCACATACGCACCGAACTCTTGTCATTCTTTAGCACTGTGACGACCGGCGCTGCCCACTCCGCTGTCTTAACGGGTCGTAGAATTCCCCGTTCGATCTGTTTGTCCAGCTCCGCATTCACCAGCGGTTGCAGCGCAAGAGGGACGGGCCGAGGCTTGTAAAACTTGGGCGAGACCGACGGATCGATATCCAAACTCACAGTCTGCTTGCAGGTGCCACCGTCGTCCTGGAACAGCGCCCTGTACTGCTGCTGCAGATCCCACAGGGGTGCTGCGATACTGAATATGTCGTTCCACGGTAGCCGCAGCTTGGCCAGCCAGTCCCGGCCGAGAAGTGACGGGCCGTCACCCCGAACCACGAGCAGAGTCAGTGTGGTCTGCTGGCCGCCGCACGAGACGTGTGCAGTCAGCTGACCGCGCACCGGCAGTGCATCTCCAGTGTAAGTGGTTAGCGCCACTTGACCCGGCTCCAGAGGGGTGCTCTTCAGCTCTGAGCGCCACACAGATTCGCTGATGATCGTTCGGCTCGCTCCAGTGTCGACCTCGAACACAAGCGGCCTTCCATTGACATCCACCGTCGTCCTGTAGGCAGGAACCCGGTGTGGAGTATTTGTGGCGTTTACTTGATACATGTCGCCATCCGGCTCCGTGTCGTCTGCCAGTACCGTGTGTACCGCTCGGCAGACGTTCCTGAGATGGCCCACTTTGCCACAGCCGTAGCACGTCGCACGCCTATGGGGACACTCCTCGGCCTGGTGACTACGCCTGCCACAGCGGCTGCACGGTAAACCACCGGCTGAATCACTTGGCAAGCTGCCAGCACTGGCCGCCGTCTCGGCCGGCCGGCGTGTGCGTGTATGAAATGCGCGGGGTCGTCGCCTCAGCCCTCCCGCGGCTGGCCCCGCGGCAGCGGCAGGCGCGACAGCGGAGACTGCGTGCAGCGGGTCCGGGCCGGTCACTGCTGTGCCTGCCAGCGGGGCTGCCGATGAGGCGATATCCTGCAGGTCAGCGGCTGCTGTCTCCATCGCAGTCGCTATCTTGACAGCCAGTTCGAGCGACAGATTGTCACCTTCCTGCAGTAGCCGCTTCAGCATTCCCGGGTTACTTATCCCACACACGAACCGGTCCCGAAGCTGCTCAGTTAGGCGGTCTCCGTAGGCACAGTCTCTGGCAATGCGCCGCAGCTCTGCCAAAAACGCTCCAACTGTTTGTGCGGCTTGCTGCGTGGTACGGTTGAACCGGTACCGTGACACAATTATAGCCGGTCTCGGAGCGAAATGCCGCTGCGCTGCCTCCGCCAACTCTTCGAAAGTTTTCGTGGCTGGCAGATCAGGCGCGAAAATGCTGCGCAGAGTTGAATACACTTTGGGACCACAGACGCTCAGAAACACCGCACGTTTCCTTGTCGCTGACGAGATCGCATTAGCAGCCAAAAACTGCTCAAAACGCTCTAGGTACTCGTTAAAGTCCGAGCCGTCGTCGCCGTACTCACCGACGCTCCCGATAAGGGCCGACGCCATGGTGGTTCCACCACCGGTCACAGGCAAGGCGAGAACGGTCTCAGCCTCGTCGCCACTTGATCTGTCCGTAGATCACCACCAGCCCGGCCGGCCTCACAGCCGACAAAACACACCTTTCAGTTCCGAGCTCTATTCCCCGACTCACCACGCTCACACCCGCCCGGCGCCCCCCAGCGCTGCGTAGACGACCCCGCACAGTTATACATATCAATAGGGTCAAAAATTTCATATGTTGTCAAAAAATGATGCACTACAAGCTACTCCAAGCGGTGAGGCGCTTCGCACCAGTTTTTTATTCACACGCAAAAAACTGGACAGGGTGGTAACAAATGCCCCCCCCCCCCCACTGGGGCAAAGGTTAAAACCACTGGGTAAATACTATTAGAATTGTTTTGTGGCGACCTATATGATGGTTTACTCACCTTGAACATATTATTTATTTTATAATATGTATTTTGGTATTTTGGTATTTATGGTATTTTCCATTTCCCACTGTTGAAGCTTCTTCCTTATCCATGGATGCCTAGACAAAATCATTGCGCCAGGTTTGAGGTTAGGTAAGGTCTGGTTATGTTTCTTTTTTAATACTTTGGAGACACCTACCTTATCATCATATCTGGATTTAGCTCGTTAAAGGGACCCTCCCACCTTCAAAAAAGTTAATGAATTGGCATAAAAGTGATATCCCTTGGTTCTGAAAGATGAAAAATTAGTATCTACCAAATTTCATCAAAAAATATTCACTGGTTTACAAGATATTAGGCTTTTACTTTTGTTTACTTTTTGGGATCTCTGCTGTTCCTAGCGACTATTTGAAAGCGCGGCCCTTGTTGCGCTTTAACAGCATATACCGCAACGTGCTACCAAACGTTTTAGTAAAACATTTAAAATCGTTAGATCTCCACTGACATCATAAATTCTAAGGGGGCATTACAGTGCAGTAGCCCCTTAGAATCCGAAAACTGCAAGTTTGAAATTCCATATACCCGAATTAAAGCATTTTTCGATGTTGTTGTGAGTGCCCAAACCGGTACTGAAGGCCATGGCCACCAATTTAGCTATCTCAACTCAAAACTAATATTAAGGTGGGATGGTCACTTTAAAAATGGAAGAATACATATTACGTAAGTAGGCACTACTTACTTTTGAAAAGTCAGTCGATGCTATTGTACCGAACTTACCATGCTGATCCATCTCAATCTCCAAATCAAGATCCCTCGTTTTCTGTGTGAGTCCGCTCAGAATGAGAATTCTATAGATGGCCTTGATGAGAATAAGTTGAAGTCAAAGTTGAAGAGTTTTATACAGCCTTGAGTTGAGGTTGAGTCCAAGCGCACATCACAGCAACGCGCGCGCGCTCTCACGTGCTCAAACTGCGTCATGAATGTCGAAATCCAAGGCTCAGGGTCATCGAAATCCATACGACCATCAAATAAGCACCAGATTGATATTCGCAACCATCCAGCTAAGAAATTGATATTCGGGCGTGGAACGCAGTAACTCAGAAATCTATAAACTTAATCCAGACAGGTAGGCACTTATTTGATTTCCCGTTCCTCAAGGCCGGGGAACAGGATTTTCTGATCGACTTTTAAATCAAGGAAATGACCTAGTGACTTGAAAATCATTGACAATCTTGATTCAGGGCAGGGGCGTAAGTCGTAACCACCTAAGCGGACAGTGCTGAAGGTCCGCACCATGTTTTACGGGCGCCGAAGCCCGAAGGCGCCCCTCTCTGTCTTCTGTTCAGTACCTATACCTATCTTTGCCACAGACGGTGCCCTACCCTTAGTAGTGTTTCACAAACAACTCTCTTTCTACCGAGGCGCCCTTTTTTCGCATGGAGGCGCCCTCTTTAGCTTCACAGGCGTCTCTCTATCACATGCAGGCGCCCCAATGGGCATCAGCGGCGCCCCTACAGGTCTCACAGTTGCCTCTCTTTCGAATGCAGAGCGCCCCCTTACGCATGCAATGCAGATTGCACTTGCAGGTAGACGGTAGTTCCAGGCCCAGCAGCACGGCCGCTTTTCCTGTGGGTCCGCAGGTGTCTGTTGAGATTTGCTAGCCTGGCAAATAGTGCCACGCAGATGGAGCAGCCGTACGGCGTCTCTCCCGTGTGGGTACGCATGTGTGCGGTATGAAGGGTCGAATACCTAACAAACCGTGCCGTACAGATGGAGCAGTCGTAACGTCGCTCCCCCGGTCAGTCCGCACGCGTCTGGTCAGGTGTGACCATTCAGTGAACAAGGCCTGGTTATGTGAGCAGCCGTACGGGCTCTCCTCCGTGTGGGAACGCATGTGTACCTATATTGAGAGCTGACCGTTCAGTGGACCGTGCCGCGGACATAGAGCAGCCGTTCACCCATTCCCGTGTGGGTCCGCAAAGACGAAACAACACTTCAAAAGCCGAAACATTATCAACACGCGTTTATTCGGCCATGACAATATTTGAACTTTCAAGTCGTGCATAAACAAAACACTGCAGCACATAAAAAAGTAGGTATTGGTTCATACACATATGTCCTGATGAAAACTCAGTACATTCCTCTATCTAGCCATACTGCTTTCATTTCACTCTTTGGCGGCACGTAATCTGCCGAAGGCGGCAAGACCAGAAACATAGCAGTGACGCCTGTAGATACAGAAAGCACATATCTAAGAGTAGCTGCGTTTACATATAATGAACAGAGACCTGTAAGGTTTGGGGCGGATCCAAGGGGGGGGTCACATGGGTCATGGCCCCCCCCCCTTGAGGCCCGGGGGCCCAAAGACCTGCCAGGGGCACCACCGGCCTATCAGGGGTATCACAGTCCTGACAGGGGCACCACAGGACCGCCAGGGGCATCACAGGCCTAGCAGGGACACCACGGGCCTGGTGCCCCTGGGCCCTGACAGGACTGTAACGCCCCTGACAAGCCTGAAGTGTCCCCGGCAGGCACGTGGTGCCCCTGACAGGCCTGAGGCGCCCCTGCAAGGCCGGTGGTGCCCCTGGCAGGCCTGTGGTGTCCATGGCAGGCCTGTGGTGCCCTTGCTAGGCCTCTGGTGCCCCTGACAGGCTTGTAATGCCCCTGGAAGGACTGTGGTGCCCCTGGGCCCTGACAAGCCTGAGGTGCCCCTGACAGGCCAGTGGTGCCCTTGCTCGGCCTGTGGTGCCCCTGGCAGGCCTCTGGTGCCCCTGACAGGCTTGCGGTGCCCTTGGAAGGACTGTGGTGTCCCTGGGCCCTGACAAGCCTTAGGTGCCCCTGACAGGTCCGTGGTGCCCTTGTTAGGCCTGTGGTGCCCCTGGCAGGCCTCTGGTGCCCTTGCTAGGCCGCTGGTGCCCCTGGCAGGCCTCTGGTGCCCCTGGCAGGCCTCTGGTGCTCTTGCTAGGCCGCTGGTACCCCTGCGCCCGGAGAGGACTGGTGCCCCTGAAAAGTCTGAAGTGCCCCTCGGCAGGCCCGTGGTGCCCCTGACAGGCCCAAGGTGCCCCTGCGAGGCCGGTGGTGCCCCTGGCAGACCTCTGGTGCCCCTGGCAGGTCTGTGGTGCCCCTGGCAGGTCTGTGTATGTATGTATGTATTACAATTGCAGGGCAATCCACAATGCATCGTGGCTATTACAGCCCCAAGTCATAAGCTCATGGATAAAAGCATGCAGGTCAGAATCGTCACATTCATAAGCCGACAAACACCACACATCACACATCACACAGCTAAACGCGCTCGCGCACCCGGCGCCATCAGCTGAGCCCGCACAGCTCGAGCGAAACACCGGTGGGACATCTCTGCGACACCGGCGGGCAGCGAGTTATATAGGGACGGCGCGCGGTACGCAAACCGGCGCCTCCCGGCCTCTGTCCTCGGCCGGGGTAGGCGGAAGAGGCCGTCCTGCCTGGTCGTTCTCTGGCGCACATCGCGGCAGCGAGTAAACGCGTCAGCCAGTGACTCAGGCTCGCCCCACCGCAGCACCTTGTACGCGAGAGTCAGCGTCTGCGCCTCCATCATCTGCCGTGGCATCATCCAGCGCAGCTGCTCCCGCAGATCGGACACATGATCGAATTTACGTTTGCCGAAAATCACTCTCACCGCAAAGTTAAGTATCTTGAGGAGCCTGTCTAAGTTTTTTTGCGTGCCGTTTCCGTATACCGAGAGACAGTATCCGATCCGCGAGAGCACCAGCGCCGTCACCAACACCTTGATGACGCCATCGGGAAGGTAGTGTCGACAGTGGGATAGGCCGATCAGTACACCCATGCACTGACGGCTCAGCTCGGACACATGCGATTCCCAGGACAGAGCACTGTCGAAGACGACACCCAGGTTTCTCACCTCCGCTTGTGGTTTCAAGACTACGTTGCAAAAATTTACCTCAATGTCCGGAAGTGATCGGAGATTCTGACGACTGCCAAAGACGGCGAGCTGGGTTTTGTTAGCGTTGACCTTGAGAGCATGAGAGATAAACCAGCGACTGAGTGATTCTAAGGAGCGTTCCATGCGCGAGGTGAGTCCCCTGAGGTCGTCCTTCGGGCCGCTCACCAACACCTGGGTGTCGTCGGCGTACTGGTACACGAGTGCTCCCTCAGCGTGTAATGACAAGTCATTAGAGAAGACGGTAAACAGGAGCGGACCCAGTACAGAACCTTGGAAGACACCCATGTTGTTGGCGAGCGGCCGAGACAGCACCCTGCATCCGGACCCATCGTTCAGGGACACGCTCTGTGTGTGTCCCTGAAGATAGGCGGCGAACCAGGAGATTTCAATGCCGTACTGACTGAGTTTTTGGAGAAGAATTTCATGATCGATAACGTCAAAACATTTACTCAAATCGATAAGGCATAGCATTGAAATCTCCCCCCTATCGGTGGCGGATAGGATCTGGTCGGATACGGACAGGAGTGCGGTTTCCGTGGAATGGTGCGGCCGAAAGCCATGCTGGCTGGATGAGAGGAGATGGTTGGCAGAGAGGTACCGGTAGAGCTGCCGGTGGACGGTGCGCTCGACAATTTTGGTGATAACTGGGACAAGGGAAATTGGGCGAAAGTTGGAAGGGTCAGACTGGTCACCGGATTTGTAAATGGGGCTGACTAGGGAGTGTTTCCAGGGGGCAGGGATGTCGGAACGGGTGAGGCAGGAATTGACGATGTGTAGGATGGGATCACCGATAGCTGGGAAACCGATCTTCAGCATGCGGATACAGATACCATCGGCGCCGCTGGCCGCCGAGCTCCGCATGCTGAAGATCGTGTGTCCGAGCATCTCCCGAGTCACGGGAGAGAGGGTGAACGAACAGGCCCCAACACGGGGCAGACGCGCGTCAGTGACAGGTCCCGCCCCCTCCGTCCGCGCCCCAATCTCCGCGGCCACCCGCGGGCCAACCGAAACAAAGAACTCGTTCAGCTCGTCCGCGGTGGCGTCAGGCCGAACACAACCCCCTTCCCTCTTACCCGCCACCACAGACTTGATACAGCGCCACACTCTGGCCGGACCGCGCTCGCCGATCTCCCGCTGTATATCACTGCGCCTGTCACTCCGCACCGCGGAGCGGACGGCTCGGTTCAGCTCCCTATACTCGGCGGAGTCACGGCCGGAGCGCGCCAGCGCTGCCCGGCGGCGGGCCATGAGGTCACGCGTGGCCGGCGAGACCGGGGGCGCGGTGGGGTTTCGGATTGTCAGTCTTTTCAATGGTGCGTGTGCGTCAACAATCGGTAAAAAGCGAGTTGTAAAGGCGTCCCACTGCTCACCCACCGTCGGCGCCGCGAACACAGCCCCCCAATCTACAGAGCACAGAGGTCTGTGGCGCCCCTGGCAGACCTGTGTTGACTGGTGCCCCTGCTAGGTCGCTGGTGCCCCTCACAGACCTGTGGTGCCCCTGGGCCTTGACAAGCCTGAGATGCCTGGCTATGACAGGCTCGTGGTGCCCCTGACCTGATAGACCAGTGGTGCCCTTGCTAGGCCTGTAGTGCCCCTGGCAGGCCTCTGGTGCCCCTGCTACCCCTGCGCCCGGAGAGGACTATGGTGCCCCTGAAAAGCCTGAAGTGCCTCTCGACAGGCCCGTGGTGCCCCTGGGCCCTGACAGGCCCAAGTTACCCATGCGAGATCGGTGGTGCTCCTGGCAGGCCTCTGGTGCCCCTGGCAGGTCTGTGGTGCCCCTGGAAGGCCTGTGTTGACTGGTGCCCCTGCTAGGCCGCTGGTGCCCCTCACAGGCCTGCGGTGCCCCTGGAAGGACTGTGGTGCCCCTGCCCCTAGGGGTGCTCATGGGCCCAACAGGCCCGTTGTGCCCCTGACAGGCCTGTCGTGTATACTTGCTAGACCTGTGGTGCCCCTGCTTCCTGGCAGGCCTGTGGTGCCCCTGGCGGGCCTGTGGCGCCCCTACAAGGCCGTAGTTGCCCTGACAGGTTTGTGGTGTCCCTGGAAGGACTTTGGTGCCCCTGACAAGCCTGAAGTGTCAAGGACAGACCCTTTAGACGCCAGGGTCAAGTTCGTCGGACTGACAACGATTTGCTTGCCTGATAACGTTCCTGGTAAGTACTCACTACTCAGCGTCCACAACATATATACACATAGCACATTCATATATACTTGCTTACAATTGGTAAATGTGGTTGTGGCTAAGAGTTAAGATACTGACTGAAAATAAAAAATAAAAAGAAAAAAACTGAAAATGGGGGCCCCACCAAAATGAAGTGGACGAAATCCGTTGAGTTTTTAATTTTGGGTATAGGTAGGGGCACCACCTCGATTCATGACCCTCCCCTTGGAGTTTTCCTGGATCCGCCCCTGAGGTTTACCCGAGTCCTTCCATGCAAAGAAATTGGATCTAGCTTAAAAACTGAGCTCTTGGGAGCGATTGCCGTGGTTCAATGTTTTGCGTTGAAATCGGCCGAACATGACGCCACTCTGACGTCATTTCCGGCCAACCCATGGTAACTACGAAGGTCACATTTTGACACAAGGTGCCAAATTGATGCAGCCGAAGGTACTGTAAGTTTGGCGTCGATACGTCAAGCAATTTGGAAGTTTTTGCAGAAAAACGGGAGGGGGCTATGTATAGCCCCCAAGTGGGACGCGAGTTAAGGTGGCTAGTTTAAAACACAACCACTGAATCACACTGGATAAGAACAAACAAACCAGATATGACACTGGTAGCCACGAAGCTCACAAACGAGAGTCACAGCTATAACACCAATAACTAACGTACAACGGCGGCCGGCCATGCACTTGTCAACACGTTGCAGCATTGCATTTCGCTAATGGGTCCGCATGTGGTTGTTGAGATTTCCCCGTTCAGCGAACCGGGCCTGACACCGGGAGCAACTGTACGGCCGCTCCCCCGTGTGTGTACGCGTATGTTTGTTGAGGCTTGACCGTTGAGAGAACCGTGCCGGGCAGATGGTGCAGCCGAAAGGCCTCTCCCCAGTGTGGATCCGCACGTGTTCAGTGAGGTGTGCCCGTTGAGCGAACCGGGACTGGCAGTGTGAGCAGCCGTACGGCCGCTCCCCCGTGTGGGAACGCATGTGTTTGATGAGATTTCCCCGTTCAGCGAACCGGGCCTCGCAGTGTGAGCAGCCGTACGGCCGCTCCCCCGTGTGGGTCCGCATGTGTGTAGTGAGGTGTGCCCGTTGAGCGAACCGGGCCTGGCAGTGTGAGCAGCCGTACGGCCGCTCCCCCGTGTGGGTACGCATGTGTTTGATGAGATTTCCCCGTTCAGTGAACCGGGCCCTGCAGATAGAGCAGCGGTACGGCCGTTCCCCAGCGTGAGTCCTTTGGTGGTGTTTCATGTTTGTGGACCTGTCGGTCGAGTATTGACACTGCTCGCACTTGAATCTCCCGTTCTTCCTGATGCAACTGTGACTTTTCTTCACGTGTTCGTCCAGATGTTGTTGTCCCAGACATCGGAAGCAGCAGTGGGGACACTGGACCGAGCCACTGATACCTGAAGAATACACAGAAAGAAGAAAGACCATTAACCAAGTTCCGTGACAAAGCAGGTAGCACACACACCGGAACAATACCGACGCCCAGAGAAGACCCACACGGCTGGTCGCGTTTCCAGGTCACCTTGGTGGTCGCCGTGGGCGGTGAGCGGCTATGTTGACGAGAAAAGCCATCAGCGCCCATGAGTTGATCCGTTTATCGTTCGAAATACAGCCTTCAGAAAGAGAACGTTGAGCTCTTAAGGAATGCAAAGCTCCCTTGACATTTACCAACTCGCACTAAGATAGGACTTAGAGCCAACTTATCTATGAAAAAGGCCTGTTTACCAACGCCAAGGAATATATTTTTTAAAATGTTAGCCACCAAGAGCCGATAAAACCCAATCAGTTATTTATCTGAGCAATGTCTGTTTGGTTGGAGTAGATGCCTACACTTCTCGTAGTTTATACCACGAACTAGGTCAAAGGGGCCCTCCCACCTTTAAAAAGCTAATGAATGGCATGAAGGTGATGTCGCTCGGTTCAGAAAGAGCAAAAACGAATATTTACCAACGTTCACCGAAAAAAAATATTCACCGGTTTTCAAGCTATTAGACTTTTACATTTGTTTACTTTTCGGGATCTCCGCTGTTCCTAGCGACTTTATTTGAAAGTGCGTCACTTATTGCGGGCAAAAGCAGTATACACCACCGCGTGCTACCAAACGTTTTAGTAAAAGATTTAAAATCGTTTGATTTTCGCTGACGTCACACATTCAGAGGGGGCATTCTAACGCATTTGCCCCTTTGAATCCAAAGTGCTGCAACTTTGAAATAATATATTTTCGATTTGAGGCATTTATCGATGTTGTGAATGCTTGAACCAGTAGGTAAGTGCAGGCCAGGGACCCCATTTTGGCTATCTCAACTCAAAACTAATGTTAAGGTGGGATGGTCACTTGAAATACCTACATACATACATGATGGAAAGGGTAGTAGCGATCATTTTCGTTATTACCTAATACGCGTTCATTCGGCCATGGCAATATTTGAACTTGAAAATGTACATAAACAAAACACTGCGGCACAGTAGTGGGTAGGTATTGATCCATACACATATGTCCAGAGAAAACTCAGTAGGTACATTTTTCTATCTAGCAATACTACTTTTATTTCACCCATTAGCGGCACGTAATCCGCCGAAGGCGGCAAGACCAGAAACATCCAGTCACGCCTATAAACAAACAGCACATATCTAATAAGGGCTTCGTTTATACAGGATGAATAGAGACCTGTAGCATCTGGACGACATGCCGACATATACGTTTGACATACGCTACTTTAACATACGACATACGCTACTTGTCAACAAAAGTGCGCAGATAATACGAAATACTGCGAATACGAGAGGGAGCCGAAGCCAAAAAAGAAGCATTATCTCAAAATTACCGGATATTCCTCACACAAATTGTAGTGTTAACCCGCGCCCTGATGGGGGGCCATTTTGCCCCCCTGTGGTTTTTCTTAACCTTCCAGGCGGTGGGGGGGTCATTTTTTTGCCCCCCTTTAGTTTTTTCAATATATCTCGAGAACCGCTGCGCCGATCGTCACCAAACTTTCAGTACCTCCCGCGAGCAGCTAGCGCACATGGTGACCAATTTTTTTTTTCCAAAGGTGATGATAGGTTGCCCGCTAATGACGTCAGAGTGACGTCATTTTTGTCATTTTCGACCCAAAAAAGGTTTCGTAAAAGACATAAAAGGTGTAGAATCAAAAGCGCTACAAAACTGCTATTTCGGTTTTTCGATTTTTTTTTATTTTGACCCCCAAAAATAAAAAAATGATTTTTTGAATAAAATAGCCAAAAAATCCAAAAAGTTTTTTGACTTTCGAAAAAAACGGAATATATGTGATAGTCCCTACCATTTTCTATCTACATACCAAATTTGAGATCGATACTTCTTTTTTTGGCCAAGTTATAGCGAAAAAACTGTTCAAAATTGATGACGTCAAATTTTCAAACTCAATTTTTAGCAATTCTAGACCTCGTAGCGCAAAACAAAGACCACCATTAGACTCCCCGTGACGAGCTAATTTGACCTGACCTTGACCAAAACGTGACCTAAGCTGGCCCAAAAGTCTGCCTGACCCATATAATCGCATTTGTCATGTAAAATGGACCATAAAACATGTATCACAAGACACTTTCATATTGTGACCCCCCAGTGACCTGACCTCTGTGACCTGACCTGGTATCAGTGACCTCAAATAGCAAAATATGTGTTGGAAGAACATTTTCCCATCGATGATTTTCAATTAAATGCATTTTACTCGATTTTACAACGCATTTCTTGAAATGCCTGTAAACGGTGAAAATTCGACCTTTGACCTGACCTGTGATGTCATCGGTTTGACCGAGGTCAATGAAATTGGGTCACAAGGTAGTTCCCCGTTGGGGCTATCCAACGCTGTTTACCGCTTGTCGCTATGTTGCGTGGTTCTCGAGATCTTAGGGGGGGGGGGGCAAAATGCCCCCCCCCCATCAGACCGCGTTGCTCGGCAGACCCCATCAGGGCGCGGGTTAACAAACAGCAGCGACAGTCCTTACCTCCTATGTTAACCCGCGCGGGGCTGGGGGGGTAAATTTTACCCCCCTCGCGAATTTTTGCAATATCTCAAAAACGGCGGCGCGCAGCGCCGCCAAACTTTCAGTACCTTTTCTTACATCAATTTGACACGTTCCCTGAAAATTTGAGCGAAATCCGTCGGAAATTTTTTGAGAAATTGACGTTTTAGTGACGTCATGTTCGCCATTTTCGCCTCAAAAACGGCAAAAGTTCAAACGCCGCTAACATCTTCATTTTTAAAGGAATCAAGACGTAACAAAAAAGGATATACGTAATTTTACTTTGTCTATCAAATGGCTATCTCGGTTTTTTCAAAAAACTGACTTTTTTGGGAAAATAGCTATAAAATCCAAAATTTTGAGTGTATCGAAAAAACCAGAATATATGTCAGAGAAGTGGTCTATGTGCACCTACATACCAAGTTTTAGAAGAATCGGTTCAAAAATGTGGGAGTTATTCAAAATTGTATGACGTCACGACACACAAAATTTTTGAAAAATGACTTTTTTGGAAGTTCTAGAGCTCGTACGGAAACAAAAGTAGCACCATTCGATTCGCCGTGAAAAACTGCATCAGATAGACACCTTTTTAGGCCTTAACAACCAACTTCAAAATTTGACCTCACTTGACCTGACCTTGACCTGACCTCGACCTGAAATTTATCCAGAGGTGGTCCATATCACTTATTGAGTGTGCCTATTGAATTCTATGAGTAAAATGACCCATAAAACATGTGTCGCACATGCCCTTTTCTATATTTTGTTTTTGGTGACCTGACCTGACCTGACCTGACCTTGACCTTGACCTCTGAATGATATTGTATGCAACGAATATTGTCTTGGTAGCCTAAGAACACGTTTTGGGCGATCAGTCTCAGTCCATGACTCCATTCTTCGGCAACTACGGTGCAAGGCCGATACTGTAGGAACTTGCAATTTGTACCCTTGACCTGACCTTGACCTTGACCTCAAACTTAAAATTAAGTACATGTTTTTAGTTGTTCGTGATGAGATCTTTCGATTGGCGTTTGAATTTTCCAAATCGGATCATTAGTTCGGGAGATAACAGGGGGGGGGGGGGGGGGGTAAAACTTACCCCCCCCCCCCAGCCCCGCGCGTTCGGCTGGAGACCCCAGCCCCACGCGGGTTAACCCGCGCACCACTGGGGTCTGCGTATAACACGCCCTACTGGGGGGTGGGGGGAGGGCTCTCCATAGCCCCCTCCAAACTCCGAAACTACTGGGCCGATCGTCAAAATTCAAACGGCGTCTGATAGCCCCGGAAAAAAAACTGTCGAAAGAACCTAATTTAATTGACCTCGAAGTCACTGATGACGTCACAGGTCAGGTCAAAGTAAAAAATTATTAGCATTTTTGCTTCTTCACATTTTGGGCTCTGGCCGCCGCCTTACAAGTCATATCAGGCTCATTTTTGGTTTACACACTCGTGAACACTGAACAGATGCTCTAGATATCCTGAGGGTACCAAACTTGTACTTTGATTTTCAGGTCAGGGTCAGGTCATCACAGGTCACGGAAATATTTTATCATGCGTCGGTCACGTGACACATGTTTTATGGTCCATTTAGGCCATAGATTTCGAATTTGATGTCGTCTGTGTTATTCGAGGTCATTTTGAGTCGAATTTAGCTTAGGTCAGGTCACTTTCAGGTCAAAAAGGTCAAATTTTGAAGTTAAAATTTTTCAACAAAAAAAGGTGTGTATTGGATGCAGTTTGAGCTCAGGAACACGATGGTGCTATTTATATTGGTGCACGATGTCAAATACGTACTGAAAAATTGATTTGAAAAAATAATATTTGAGAATTTTTTTGCAATAATGCGTATAACTTGGCCATTTTTGAACATAATTAGCTAAAACTTGCTAGAGCTAGTCAAAAGAATGCGTTCTATCACATATGTTCCGTTTTTTTTTTTTTTTTTTGCTTCGAAAAATCGAAAACTATAGAAACAAAAATTTAGAATTTCATATAAAATTTTCGGAATTTTCAAAATTTTGAAAATCCGAGATAGCAGTTTGATAGCGCAGTCTATTCTGAGTCCTTTCATGCAAATAAATTGGATCTAGCTTAAAAACTGAGCTCTTGGGAGCGATTGCCGTGGTTCAATGTTTTGCGTCGAAATCGGCCGAACATGACGTCACTCTGACGTCCTTTCCGGCCGACCTATAGTAGCTACGAAGTTCATTTTTCGACACAAGGTGTCAAATTGATGCAGCCGAAACTACTGAAAGTTTGGCGTCGATACGTCAAGCGGTTTGGAAGTTATTGCAGAAAAACGGGAGGAGAGCTATGTATAGCCCCGGCCCCCTCCCCCCCCCCCAGTGGGGCGCGGGTTAAGGCGGCTAGTGCAAAACACAACCACTGAATCACACTGGATAAGAACAAACAAACCAGATATGACACTGGTAGCTACGAAGCTCACAAACGAGAATCACAGCTATAACACCAATAACTAACGTACAACGGCAGCCGGTCATGCACTTGTCGGCATATTTCACCATTGCATTTCGCCAATCAAGCCATTTACCGCATCAGTCAAACCTGTGTAATTCTCAAAACTGTGTACCAGTTAAAATCGAGTTTTACGTCAAACTGCTGAAACGTTAGACAGAAGTGGCAGCAGTGCGGTTGCACTTCGCATGGGTACGCATGTGTTTGGTAAGGTGTGACCGGTTAGTGAACCGGGCCTGGCAGTGTGAGCAGCCGTACGGCCGCTCCCCAGTGTGAGTCAGCAATAG